CCCCAAAACCCCAAAACCCCAAAACCCCAAAACCCCATTCTAGTTATAAAAAGTTGAAATATTCTACATTGGTTGCGCATCTGGGAACATATCCATTCTCTTTTTCTTAAGTCTCTCCGCAAGGGCTATCAGTACTTCTAGGGGTTGTTCTTCATAGTCAATATCCTTAAGTGTCTCTAGCATTAGCTCGGTCTTATTAGGAAGGTTTTCGACCTTAAATTTGGAGTTATTTCTCCATAATCATTCTTCGGTCAGCCTGCTCTTGTTCGAGTTGTTCTCTTTTGCGTAGCTCTTCTTCTTCGTCTATGAGAAAGTTGGCTCCTCTCTTTAAAGCATTGTAGTCTATTAGTGAGGATTTCTTGCCTTCTTCTGGGATTAAGGAGTCATCACCAAACATCATTTGCTTGTTCTGAAGGAACATCCCGATGTTTGGTTTGACTTGACTTGTCTTTTTATCCTCTGTTTGATCATCTGGAAACCTGTAGTAATCTTTATCAGCTCTCTCTTCAGGAGACAGAAGCTTAGGATTATTAGGAATCTTTACTGCTGTCTGTTTTATCTTAATTTGTTTAGGCTTTCTGTTCTTCTTCATTTCTTGTCTCATCATCATCTTTGTTCTCATAGTGATTTCTCCAATATCAGAACCAAGTTCAATTTTATCATTTTGGAGATCTCCAAATTTCGAATATCCCGAATAGGCTTTGAAGAAAGAAATGATCCAATCAAACACATGCACAGAACCGTCTGAAATTTTTGGAAGAATTTCGTAAAATTTTTGGTAAAAATCTTTCTTTCGAGGTGATTTCTGTGTAAACGAAATGGCTGAGCTTTCAAAGATTTTAAACGCTTTTAGGACATTTTCTGAGTCATAGTCTCTGCCTCTAAAACTGAGGAGTTCAATCTTAAAAGTAGGATTTGATAGCAAATCTCTTCATTTACTCCAGTTGGGATTTTTATATCCTTTAATCATGGCTATAACTTGGAATAGCTTTCCTATGATAGGCTCAGGTCTTACAAAGGATAGGAATTCTCTGATGTGACCTTTAGTTAAAGATTTTCCTGCCTTTTCGAGGTTCTGAACAGACTCTTTATAAGTCAATTTGTCAACCTGAGGCAAGAAATTGATTGAATTATCTTCAAGAAATTTCTTGTGAGCATCTGATTTAATACTTTGAGTGGTTTCTTTTCCTTTAGAAATGTCTACTGCTTGGGCTATGTTAAAAACCTTGCTTTCAACAGTTTTTCTTTCCATGGTAGGAGCTTCATTATTAACGAATTCACCTCCCAAAGCACTAGAATTCTCTTGTTGCATGACTTCATTATGAAGGGCTGTTAGCAAATCTCTTGCTCTTTCAAGTACCATTCTGTAGAAATCTGTTCCAAGATGGCCTGGCATGTTATTATGCCAGACGCAGACAATGAGAGCAACATTTTCGACTCCAAGCTTTTGCAGGAGTCTGAGTAATTTTTCCCCGCTACCTTCCTCGCCGTCATCATCAAATCCTTCACTGATTCCAGTATTTGAACTGGGATCTACAACCCTGAAAGCGACTACAGAATTAGTTGGCTTTGAATGATTTAGATCTAAATGATCTTGAACTTTCATTACATGGTCTTCGTGGGAGATGGCTGCACTGAAAGCTTGAAATTTGGCTTTCTTGAATAGCTTAACCTTTCCTTGAGAGATTGAGTCAATGACTGCTTTAGCTTCTTCATCTTCCTCTTTATTCCTTTGAGAGGTATCTTCATTCACAATTTCGGAACCATATTGGAGGGGTCCAATCACCTCCTCATTTGTATTAGAAGGGATGCTCTCTTCATATAGTTCTCTCTGGCTTTCGAGGTGGTCTTTTCCCATCATCGAGGTGTTCTCCTGAAATTCACTGTCCATTTAAGTTTTCTTAGCTTTTTAATTTTATAAAATTTTAATTTCTTCTGGGGTTTTGGGGTTTTGGGGTTTTGGGGTTTTGGGG